TAGACCTGGATGGAGGTGGGTGGTCCTTGGACTTCCCACAGGGCAGAGAACCCTGATTGCTTTTTGGGCTGACGAGGGAGGGGGACTTGATTGGGGGAGGGGGAGGGAAAGGGGAGGCGGCGGTGGGGAAGAGACAGAAATCTTTAATAAATAAATAAATAAATTTAAAAAAAAAGAAAAAAAGAAAATGCCCAGCAGCCGGATCTTATGGAGGCATTTTCTCAGTCCCTCCTTTCAGATGACTCTAGCTTGGGTCAGGTTGACATAAAACCCACAGTTTGGTTCCACAGTTCCCCATCCCCTAATTCCCAAACCTCACAATCACAAAGCAGTGACTGCCCTACTTCCTGTAACTTTCCACGTACCTGCTGGACCGTGTGAATGGTACCGTGATGTGTGACCCTTTCTGTCTGTCAGTGGCTCTGATCACGGAACGTAGCATCCTCGAGGGTCATCCGTCTTGTAGCTGACATCAGAACATCTTTCCTTTAAAGCTCATAGACCATTGTAGAAAATGAGTATTTGGATTGATTCCACTCTTTGACCAAGGCGTAACTTCACTCTTGGGTTTTGCCAGCGGTGGGGCTCTACCCAGGCTGTGCACATGCCAGGCAAGCTTCCTGCCGCTGCCACTTGCGGCTCCTTGACTGTTGTGAACAGCGCTTTCTGTGAACATCACGACACAAGTGTTTGTTTAAACATCAGAGTAAACAACTTTCCAGTCTCCTTGGTCACGTAGGTAATAGAATTGCTGGATCGTGTGGTTATCAGCCCAGGATTTTAGGGACACCTTCTCTTTGGAGTGTGCTTGGAAAGTGACAATAATAGGCACTCGAGGTCAAGCCTAGGGCCTTAGGATGCTAAACTGTATCTCTAGACCCGCCCCCCTTTACCCTTCATTTTGAGATAGAGGCTCTGACTATGTTGCCCAGACTGGCCTTGAAGTCACCTCATAGTTCAGGCATGCCTTGAGCCTATAATCATCCTGCATTAGCTTCTTCAGTGATGGGATAACAAGCCTATTTCAACAGGCTCTGTGTGTGTGTGTGTGTGTACACACACGTACGTACCAAGCGCCTTGCTTACACTCAGCAGACTTTCTTTCCCTGCTCATGAAGTTCAGTTCTGTGCTGCTTTGGCATCTATATTTAGCAGAAGTGGGCTTCCTCCCCTTACAAGCAGGTCTCAGTCTCTCTTCCAGTTGTGCAATTGTTTCACAATTTCCCTCCTTCCAGTTCCTGCAACATCTGCCTTATATAACCGCCTCCCAGTGACCACTTCCCTAGGTGGTCCTAGAGCAGGTGGACAGACCAACTAAATTTGCCATCCTAACCCCACATGTCACACAGATGGCGAAGCTAGGCCTTAGTGACACCCCAATAGTGCCAGTGTGCTTTAAACCTACCAATTAAAACCCCATTAGAAAAATGTTTGGATACCACCCTGGGCCCATAAGGCTGATGCGTTGATATGTCCTCCTGCTCCTCCTTCCTGCTTTCTCTCTCCATACTCCCTGACCTCTCTGCCTGTGGACCCCAGGCACGCTGTGTGCACCCTCAGGACCTGCCGGGTGTTGCGTCATCGGTGATGGAACTCCCTGCATCTTACAGGGTTTTAAATTACAATAGTCATAGGTGGACTTGAATGTAGTCAGGCTCCAAAACTCTGTCAGAAAAATGGTGATCTGGAAATCCATGCCCACCGAGGTGTCTGCATACATCCACAGAATGTGCGAAAGATTGCAACACCATGAAGAGGCGTGGGAAGTGCCTGGCAAAGGGTAACAAGTAGGTGTTTCCCACCCTGCTTCTTGTAAGACCTGAGGCTTCCCGGTTGTTAGGAAATTTAGTTCCGGGTAGTGCCCTGGCTACTATGTAAGGTACTGCTCCAAGCTGAAGGAAGACCCCTGTTGGTGACCGACCTCATGGTCCTTGTTGATGGTCATTTTCCGAGCTGTAGTCAACTTGGGATTCATAGGGTTCTGGGAGAAGGCTGTAGCCTGTAGCTTGTGATCACAGGTCCAAAACTGGCTCTAACTGTGGTGAGACTTGAACCTGCGTGCCCTGCAGATTTCTAAGCCTGTAGTGGAGAGGTCTGCCTGCCCAAGGATGTGAACAGCTGTCTGTAGAAACAGCCATCACCAGCAATGTGCAACTTCAGTTTGCCTTCAACCCTGGAGAGAGTGCAGAGCTGGGAGGAGGGTAGGAGCTGGGGAAGCCTTCCTGTCATGGCTGGATGTCCGATCTGCTCTCATGTCTGTAAATATGGGGGGGGGGGTCACTCTGCCGCAGCTGAGCTGCCGCCCTAGCCCCAGTTCTCCCCAGAGCCCCCTCCCTCTTCCTCTTGAATCCAGTGTGTTACAATGAATGGGTTACCTGGCCCTCTCGGTCTGTTTTCGTGGTCTGGGTAGGTAGAGCTAAGAACATGGCCATGTTCCTCCTGAGTTCAAATGCCTAGCTCCTCAGAGGGTGGGACACAGCTTGCTTCCTGGGTCACCAGTGACTCAGGTGGCAGGAGGAGCGACTTGAGGACTCTTGATTATCATCTGAAAAGATGCCTTAGGAAAAGAGCAAGACGGTCACAAGATTCTTATGAATGTTTAGCTGACACTGGGCCCTTGTCTGTGCTGTCTCTGGTGAGGGGTCCAATTCCACTGAAAACTGCAAGTTGGGGCCTGGGTGTGTACTTGAGTTGTTAGCATGTTAGCCAGCCTTGGGTGTGCTCCCCAACACCACAGAAATCTAGTAGAGGGTTGCAGGCCTGGAATTGCAGTGTTCACATGGAGACAGGAAGTCCAGAAGTTCAAGGTCACCCTCGGTTTCACAGTGAGTTGTTGGGGGACACAGGCCAGCTTGAGACACGTGAGGTCCTGTTTCAGCAAACTGGAAGGAAGGACTCTCGAGCTAAGAGTGGTTCAAAGAGGAGCTACAGGTGGCCAACATGCTTTGTCAGCCAGCCTTGAGGTGTGTATGGGTGGGGGTGGTAAATACCTTTGTGGGACTATGTTATTTCCTGTAAGTGGAACTTCACTAGCCACGAGGCTCTCGCAGAATGGACCCCTCTGTCCTTGTGCTGCAATTGGATTGGAATAAAGGGGGTCTGGGCTGTGGGTTGAGTTCCTCGGGTCAGGACCACCTGGCCTTGCTGGTAATCACTGTTCACGGTTGCCCGTTCTTGTCGCTGGACTGGCCTGCTATCCTATGGTCTCAGGCTAGAACTTACTGTGAACATGGCAACCATGGATAGCTGATGTCACAGCATCCTGTGTCTCTAAACGGTGTACCCCACTGCCTGTCAGCATCACCCAGGAGCTTTGAAATGCAGCCAGGCCCAGCACCCTGATCCCTACCCCTGACCCCCACTTAAGTTTTGTGATAAGATCACTTTTGTATCTCTGACTGCCCTGGAACTCCTGTGTAGATCAGGCTAGCCTCAGACCTACAGAGATCCACTTTCCTCTGCCTCCCAGTGTTGGAGTTAAAGGTGCATGCAACCATACCGGGCTTAACACCCTCATTCTTATAGAGGCTTCCCAGAGGACTAGCCAGGTAACTGGGGTCATGACCAGCTTGGCTGTCTGGTCTGGTATCTGGCACTGTGCTGGTTGCCATGCTAACCCACCACAGGCCCCAACCGTCCGCATAAAGTTGTTTTGCAAAGGGTAGGCCACATTTTGCCTCTGTGTGTATGTTCACTGGAAGGTCTTGGCAAAAGGTTACTATTATAAATAGTATCATGGGGCAGGGTGGGGCCGGGGGCAGTCCAGGATCATGATTGAGCTTTTCCTGGGTTTGCCAACAATTAGTACAGAGGACTGTGGTCTTTTTTGCCCATTGCATCCCCCATAGGTAGGCGTATAGGGACCATACAAGGGTATCCTTGCATTTGGGGTTCTTCTAGCCAGGTCCCCTCCCCATATGATAAGCCCCTGTCTGTCTTCTCATCGTCCTCAACAGAACACTTCTATGACCTAATTTCCTCCACACCCAGAAACCCTTAAGTTTCCTGGGGATGCCACCTGGGTATAGTGCAGCGTTAGCTCCGGTTTGGCATCATCTTCCTGGAGATGGTACTGGGTCCCACAGGTTAAGGACTCAGCCCTATAATACCAGCTCCCCCTCACTCCACCATCTCCAAGCCCCAGGTTTCTTTTCAACCATATAAATGAGGAAAGGGAGGAGCGGCTCACAACCCATCTTTCATAACTCTCGTCGATGCAGGGATGGCTGGTGGCAGAAGATAGGGAAACAGTTTCCTAACTAGACTTTCAGTCTCTGATTAAAAATAAAACAAAAGAGGAACCACTCAGAACGAGTGAGAGGAAAGAGAGGCATGAGGCGAGTTATATGGTGGGGTGGCCTAGAGTGTTTTCCTGTGACTCGGTGGCCAAGACATTCTCCCTACCCTGCCGTTTAGGTTTCTCTAGAAGTTTCATTCTATAGGCTTGACGGATTATGCCACTGGCCTCAAATAATTGGCTCAGGCTTCAGCCCCCTTCCTTTCCCTAGAGGGCCGGGGTCATAACTGAAAGTTGCAACTCTCTAACCGCAATCTCGGTCCTCCCTTCCACTCACCCCAACAAACCAACCCCCATCCTGAGCTACCCAGTCATCTCACAAACATGAACTATAGTTGTCACTTTGGAGCGCCTAATGGTCTTAGGAGCCATGTCCTAGAAAAGTGTGTGTGTGTGTGTGTGTGTGTGTGTGTGTGTGTGTGTGTTTACCAAGATCAGATGTTACCTGTTTGTCCACTATGCCACCCATTTCCCAAGGACAGTCTTGGCTACTCTTGTATTTTCTGGATACCCCTTCTCACCCTGTGTCTTTGGCTAGTAGTAGGTCTTGAGACTGGTGGCCTTGTACCTAAAACCCCCGAGAGATGCCAATTTGCTGCGGAGATAGTGTCAGCTTGGGCCCTTGAGTGGACAGGTGAGCCGTAGACGCCCCTGAAACGGCCCTTTGGCTCTCATTAACACGGTCGCTTCTCTGTGCACACAGATTCCTCGTTCGGCACACCACCTGGGTACGGCTGTGCCGCAGACCAGGCCGAGGAGCAGCGCCGGCACCAGGATGGGCTGCCCTACATCGATGATTCGCCTTCCTCCTCTCCACACCTCAGCAGCAAAGGCAGAGGCAGCCGCGATGCTCTGGCCTCAGGAGCCCTGGAGCCCAGCAAAGCAGTGAGTCCGGGGGGTCCACCCGCCGAGAGTGTGGGGTAGATGTGAAATCCACGTGGGGCACTGAGCTCCGCTCTGGACAAGGTCATGGCTTCCATGGACAGGCCTTCTGAAAGGCAGTTCCTAGTTCAGAGACGCGTCACAAAGAGATGATGGCACCATTAGACAAACCACAGAAAACTGCTTTCTTGACATATGTCAAGTAGAGGGGTGACAGCCCTCTGCATACATTCTTCAGGGAGATCATGGATTGCTTTGTAAACTCGGAGAGGCGAGTTGCGTGGGTTCTTGATGCTAAGAATAGTCATGCCAGAGGCCGCTACCTAAGCAAGCAGGAATTGCATGGTGGCCCTAGTGGTAGTGCTCGGCTAGGCCGATGTTAGCCCTGGTCCTGTACTCAAGGAGTATTATACTAACTCGCTTTTCAACAGAGGAGGTGCTGACAGTGGTTTGGATTGACCAAGGTCTTTCCCGGTGAGTTCCCACTTAACCTTCACCAACAGTCCTAAGGGACTTGCCTTGGGTCACCTTCATGTCGCCAATGTGTAGCTGAGGTCAGTTGTTGGCTTTCTCTCGGGTCATGTGACTAGGGAGTAATGGGACATCTGAAAGATGATCTAGCCACATTTCCAAGTAGCATCCTCGGTGGGCCAGCCTTCTTCAGGAACATCACTCTGAGGGGCTTGCAGGCTGGACAGGGCAGTTTGCAGAGTGAGTCCACCCAACTGGCGCAGTGTCCTGAGCCATTCTGTGGACCTGTGGCTAGGACATTGTTGCGGGTGACTTTCTCAGTGGTGTACTGAGAGGCAGGGATGTGCTCCTCTTGCCATTGGAGCAAGGACACCACCTGTGATGACTTTAATGGTCAGTGTGACGCAGTGAGGATCATATTGGAAGAGTGTCTCAGCAGGGATTGTCTAGTTTCGGATAGCCCATGGGGGGGGGGGGCATATCAATTATGCTAAGTGATGTAGAAGGACCTGCTCACTGTGGACAGCTGGACAGCATTATTCCCTGGGTTGGTAGCCTAAGGGACTAGCCACCTTGACTTTGTGAGTGTGAGCCAAATAAGCCCTTCATCCCAGAACTTGCCCCTTTCTGGTGTGCATGTTATCAGGGCGACAATGAAGACAGCTCCATTCGCATCTTGGATTCTTCCTTCTTGGGCTGAGTGATCTCTGTTGCTCCGGAGCAGTTTCTCCTCCTCGTCTTTGGCTCTTTTGTCTTTCCAGCCCCTCTGCTTACCTTGGGTTTGGATGGTTTCTACCCTGGGTATAAGCATAGGAATGAGAACAGGCCTTGGGATCATGGCTCAGTTTCTAGAGTTCACGCCCAGCGTACACCTGACCCTGGCTTCCACCGCCAGCGTCACACTTTCCCGTATTGCTGTAATAAAGCCCAGGAAATGTGTCTTTCCTCCAAAGTTGCTTGCTCTGGGGATGACGCCTTTGTTGCAAGGTCGTTTTCTTTTTATGGGCCTGTGATTTCTAATGGTGCTGTTGCTGAACAGATTCCTCATTCTGAAACTCGAGACTGAGAAAGGAAGCCAGTGTGTGGCCTGTGCCTGCTCCTTGTTGCTTATGTCCCTGTCTAGCCATCCCTTGAGAGGAAGTTGATCTGCCTCTCTGTACCCCAAGCCCTGTCCAGTTGGTCTCTATCCTCCTACTCTCCTGATGTAGCACCCAGTTCAGGGGCTCATCCCTGTAGATTCCATGCAGAACCTTGTCTGCCTTCTCCAGCCCCCTCAAGAGTCCATAAAACACCACCCATGTTGCGTTTTTAGCAGGATGTTACACATCTGCACATACATACGGCTCTACGGTTCCCCCAAGTATTCCGCCAGAGCAGGTGGTGGGATGTGTCCTGAAGGAGGAGGGTTGACATGTCACCTAGTCTTGTTCCAGCAGCCCTCCGGTTATGTGCTTAATCTAATGCATATGACCCTAAGGGTAGCCGCCCATCTTGGTGCTGGTGGCAGGCACCGCCTTCGCTTTCTGATTTCACTTCTTAGGTTCCTTAGGGAATGTGGTGGGTTTGAAGTCAGAAGCACCCCACGCTGCTGCCTAAGGTCCTTCTACCTCCCAAGTCCTGGTTTGTTCCCTGCTGCCAGGCTCACACCTTTTGGGCTACTGAACCCCGCTTCTCAGGGGATGCCATGGCAACACATAAGCTCTGTGGAGCTTCTGGGTTTCGGGGGATCTCTGGGCGCATCCACCCCAAGGAGTTAGGTAGGTATTGTTTGTGGTTGGGGCAGAGACCTGGCACCCCTGACCCTGGGAACAACAAGGTCTTCGGTGGGTTTATTGAGACAGAGCCAGGTCTGCATGCTGGGATCTCCCCTTCTGGAGGACTAGCCTGCTGTGAAAGTCAGGCCTTCAGAGTGCTTTCAAGCTCGCCTCTGGGGCCGTAGCTAGGCTATTACTCTGACTAGAAGAGGGCCCCTGGTCCAGCTGCTATGCTGGTTTTGAACTTACAGAGCAGAGAAAGCTGCACCCTGCCTGATTGGCCAGTGGGCTCCCCTGGGAGGAGTCTTGAAAGACTTCCTAATGGACCAGCCTTCAGCTCACCTGTGGGCTTGGTAGCATTTGTCACCTGGTCACCGTGAGCCTAGTTTGTTTCTCTCTATTCTTGGTTGCATGTTTCTGAACTCCAGATAGGCATAAGGGCTTCTTGTTCCAGTTGCCCAGCTTTCTCCTAGAAGGAACCTCCCTGCCTGTAGGTGCCAGCCCGGCCCATTGTCCTCGTCTTCTTCCGTGCCCCATTCCCTTTTGGTGAGGCAGAGTGGGCTGCTTGTGTTGCCGCCAGCACTGGTCTGATCCCCAAAAGACTGTCTGTCTAAAGTTCCTCTTCTCGTGGCCTGTCTCCGTCCACCGCAGCACCACTCCTGGGCCAGAGAGCCCCACCCTTTGGAATAAGGAAAACCGGACTTGGCGCCATCCTGCTTGCACAGTCTTTCCTCTTGGCTTTCCAAACTGCGTGGGTGGAATGAGGCACCAGGCTTCCACCAGGCACTCCCATCCATGCAGGCGGCAGCAGCTTATGCTGGGCAGAGCTGTCACTGGCCCTGCTGACCTCCCCAGGCCCCACCGTCCCCCTGGAGCTGGCAGTAGCAAGATTGTTCTCAGAGCAGGAGAGCTGGGTGTAGGGGGTGGCTGCTGCTGTCAGAAGGCCTGCCATTTCCCTGATCTCTTCCCTTGTGTGGGACAGGTGCTTTGTCTACACAGTGGGAGGCTGTGCAGAGACAAGAGAAAAGTGCTTCTCCGAGGACCTGCCGTTTGCACTGGGCTGAGACCTGGGCACCACGCCATCAAATCCTGCATATTTGGGCCCCGTGGGCAGTGATTAACGAGCTCAGCTGACAGTCCTGGATTTCTGGGACCTGCTTGTTTTCCAGCAAGAATACCGAGACTCCAAAGGGGCCCTTGGGGTTTCATAAAGATGAGGCCCAAACTAGGACCTGGCCAGGTCTTTTAGATTTGATGGTGAAAGGAATCTTAACTGAGCACTGTATGTTCCAAGCACAGGAATTTCCAAGTTCAGGCACAGCTGTGCCCTGGAGGCTCCTATCTGTGGAAGTTATTGCCTGGTGTTTGCTGAAGGGACCCATTTGGATGGGTTAGTTCCTTGGAGCAGTAGCTGCCACATTTGCATGTTCACAGCTTAGATACACACACACACACACACACACACACACGACACACTATAAAGCTGCAGTGACTGCCACCTACACACATTTGCATGTTCACAGCTTAGATATACACACACACACACACAAGCATGCACACACTATAAAGCTGCAGTGGCTGCCACCTACACACATTTGCATGTTCACAGCTTAGATCCACACATATACACACATGCATACATGCATGCACACACTATAGAGCTGCAGTGGCTGCCACCTACACACATTTGCATGTTCACAGCTTAGATCCACACATATACACACATGCATACATGCATGCACACACTATAGAGCTGCAGTGGCTGCCACCTACACACATTTGCATGTTCACAGCTTAGATCCACACATATACACACATGCATACATGCATGCACACACTATAGAGCTGCAGTGGCTGCCACCTACACACATTTGCATGTTCACAGCTTAGATCCACACATATACACACATGCATACATGCATGCACACACTATAGAGCTGCAGTGGCTGCCACCTACACACATTTGCATGTTCACAGCTTAGATCCACACATATACACACATGCATACATGCATGCACACACTATAGAGCTGCAGTGGCTGCCACCTACACACATTTGCATGTTCACAGCTTAGATCCACACATATACACACATGCATACATGCACGCACACACTATAGAGCTGCAGTGGCTGCCACCTACACACATTTGCATGTTCACAGCTTAGATACACACACATACACACACACACACACACACACACACGCACGCACACGCTATAAAGCCATAACTCAAGAAAGTTTCTTAGGAAATCAGACGGCAGTGACAATGTGATACAAAGCCCCCCAGGGATCCAGATAGGCAGTTTACATCCAGGTGACGGTGGGGCTCCCTGAGCAACGTAGGCTCCTGACCCTGGGCTCTTCTGGATGAGCCTGCAGTCAAACCCATGAAATACTTCCCTCTTACAGGACTAGGGAGCTGGACAGGACCAGCGGAGTTATTATGACACAGAGGGTCCTAATGTCCAACTGCAGAGCCCCCCAAAGGCCTGAGCTGGCCCCAAGCAGGTCCTTCCTTGAGCCCAGTCTCATCAGGGCTTATACAGACCCCAGGCAGTAAGCGCTACTATCCAGACATTTGTGGCTACCACATGTGGGAAGTAAGAGCAGGATGCAGGTCAGCATCATATTGTATAGGATTGCCCTTCAGCCCGAGACGTCAGCATTGCTGGCATTTTCCTTTAATGATTTAGGAAAGTGAGTCATGGAAGGGTCACTGCTCCCGTTCTAAGCCCAGGAGGTGGGGTAATAGGACTCTTGTGAGTTTGCTCTTGAGCTAGGAAACTGGAGGAGTGGGCGAGGCTTTTAACATCCCACTACCTTCCATGGATGTGGGGCTCCTCCCCTTACTGGCATCTCCCTCTGCCTGTAGGTGGGGTTGGTTGGCCAGGTGCCACACAGTGGTTCCATGGGCATGGCCAGCCTCTGACATCACTTGTGACTGGGGAGTGAAGCAGGGAGTGGCCAGGAAGTCCAGCGGCACTTTTTGTTGCCTTTGGCACTGCCATCACTGTTGCTTTGTGAGGCGAAAACACCACAAGCCGGGCCGCTTGAACAACAGACATGTACTGTCTCATAGGCGTTAGGGGCTGGGAGGCTGAGCTCAAGTTGTCACAGAGTTGTTTTCTTCTGAGTCCTCTCTCCTGAATCTGTGAATGGCTATGCCTAGCTACAGCTGGACCAAACGTCTTCCATGTGCGTCTGTCATATACTCCAGTTCTGATGGAATACGAGTTACACTGTGTGGCTTAGAATCCACTCTTCTGACTTCATTTCAGCTTCTTTAAATACAGTCACATCCTCAGGCCATGGGGCTCAGGACTTCAGTATAGGCATGGGGGGATGTGACACACTTCAGTCCACGTCAGCTGACGTCAGCGCGTGGTCTTCCAGGTTATGCAGCTGCACCCCTATGTCAACAGCCAACAATGTGTCCGCTCGGGCTTGCTGAAACAAAGGCATTAGAGCGGCACAGTTTTCATCTGGGAAGTTGACAAAGCTTGGGTGCTTTGCCTAGAGCCTGCTTGCAAGAGCATCCCTACAGCAAGGTTAGAGAAAGCTGAGTGAGACAAAAGTCCTGAGCCCGGGGGCGGGGGGTGGGGGTGGGGGACACTCGTCCCAGGTGACACACAGCTGCAACAGTCAAGGCCAGGAAGGGCAGCATGCTGAGGAAGGGGGGGTGCTGCTGCCTAGGAGCCTGGTTGGTCCAAGATTCAAGTGTCAGTGACAGTCAGGAAAACCCGGGTGAGGCATACCTCAGGTGAAGGGCAAGGAGCAGCAGATGTTTTTGATAGCAGGAGTCTGGATGGACAGACAGTAGGCTCTGATGTACACCAGCTCAGCCCTCCTGGAGCATCCCTTGGGCTTCCTGTGTGCTATGCTCACCTCGGGTCAGAACCTCCTTTTCCTTCCATGTGTGGAAGGCAGCCATTCCATGGTCCCAGGCACAAGGCAAGAAGGGAGGAGGTCCTACAACCTCTTAGCATCCAACTTCTCCTTTCCTAGGCTGTGGGGGCTAAGGCCATCCTTAACTGGATGGCCATCCAGATTTTAGTGACTAGTAACTACAATGGCTAAATGGATGCCAGGGCTCTTGGGCCCTTCCTCGTCCTTCTTGGTAGATTGTCTCCGGCTTGTTCTTTGTGGGGAGCTAATGTCTCTGCTTCTCTTCCTGCAGAGCGAGCTGGATTTGGAAAAGGGCTTGGAGATGAGAAAGTGGGTTCTCTCGGGAATCCTGGCCAGCGAGGAGACATACCTGAGCCACCTGGAGGCTCTGCTATTGGTGAGCACGCCCTGCTGGGATTCACCTCCCACCTCTCTCCAGACATCTGAACTTCTCTAGAAGCTGGGAGATATTGACAGAGGGCCTCTGTTGCCAGGTTTCCCCTTGCTTTTAATTTTTCCTTGGAATTTGAAAATGGTCAAGCCGGGATGTAGTTCAGTGGTAGAGCACTTGTCTGCCCGCCATGCCCAAGGTCCCTCTTGGACCTGATCATGACACCAAAGAAATAAAGTCTGTGTCGCGTAACCACCGCGAAGCATCTAGCCAGTGGTAAAACCTGTCACCTCGTCACTTCACCTGTGCCGTTCTCTAGCCCATGAAGCCTCTGAAAGCCGCTGCCACCACCTCGCAGCCGGTGCTGACCAGCCAGCAGATCGAGACCATTTTCTTCAAAGTACCTGAGCTCTATGAGATCCACAAGGAATTCTACGACGGCCTGTTCCCCCGCGTGCAGCAATGGAGCCACCAACAGCGTGTGGGTGACCTCTTCCAGAAGCTGGTGAGTGACTTGGACATGCCGGCAATTGTGATTAGGTTTGTCCCCTGGGCTTGTGCCACAAGTAGACAGTAAAAAGGAGAGCCTGGGGCTTGTCTCTTTAGTACCAAAGGGCAGGCCACTGGGAGAGAGTGGCTGAGGGACACATTGCCAACCCAGCCTGAGTCCAGTGAGTACGATGTCTTATTCTTCTTGGCTTCCTGCAGTTTTGCTTGGGGTTTCCAGTGTCCACACAGATCAGGCTGCCTTTGGCACCAAGATGGCTTTGCTGCTCAGCACGCTGGGCTCTTAGTGGAGAACAGAGTGTGGCTGGGGAAGGGATTGCACGTGAAAGCACAGTGTGGGACTTGATTACAAGTCAACTCCTGCATCTGCAGGTTCTCATCTGCAGACTGAGCTAACCAAGGGCTGAAAAACTTATGTATATACTAAACATGCACAGGCTTTTCCTTCTCATTGGTCCCTAAACAATCCAGCATAACGGCTATTTATGTAGAGATGACATTGGATTAGACCTAGAGATGATCGAAGTGTGTGTGTCTGGGTCAGTGGTACCTATCTGTACTTTCAGCTGTTTGGGAGGCTGAAGCAGTAAGATTGCTTGAGCCCAGGTATTTATGGAAACAACCTAGGCCAGCGGAGTGAATAAGCAAAGGGAGAAAGAGGGGTGTGTAACTAGGAGCCTCCATAGAGAAGCATGGACCAGGTGACAGCCACAGGCTGTGAGGAAGGTGGCTTCCTACAGAGCTGGGTCTCTGACACAAAGGGGCAGAAGGTGTGCCCAAGGGGCATGCACCATCTTACCTGCACTGAGACAGACGGCCCTGTAAGACAGGTACTGTTTTCAAAGCTATTCAGCAAGGAAAGAGGATATTTCTCATAAAAGAGTACATTTGTCTGCCATGAGGGGCCATAAAAACCAAAGGACAAGAGGTGTTAGACAACAGGACAAGAAAATTTATTATTTATTTATTATTTAATAATAAATTTAATAAAAATTTAATAATAATTTCTTGCCAGCTTTTCTTAACTTAACCTGTCTACCTTTTGTCTCTGGGGTTTCACCATTCTCTTACTTTTTTTTATTCTTATTCTGTTAGAATAATAAATATTCTGTTAGACAACAGAATAAGGGTTTCTGGAAGGCTTTTAACATCCCGTTACCTTCCATGGATGGAGTAAGGAGTTATATGGACCTCCTCCACCTTTGGTGCCTTCTCGAGAGCCCTGGACTCCTGGGTTAAAGCAGTGGGTACAGAAGTTCCGTTCCTGAGGTTCACTTTCAGTGCGTGGGGTTTTGGTTTTCCTTGACGTAGTCACCCCTACTCACTCTCTGATGGAGGATCCAGTTCTGTCCTATGTTGTATATGTGTTTGGCTAGGATGTCTCTTTAGCAACCTTGTGTCTGTCTTAGCGCCTCGAACTGACATTTTTCTGAAGGGCCCAGGCTGCTTTGAGTTTGTCAGCTATGCCTTCAGACCTTTCTGGTAAAGAATGACCACAGTAGGGACCCGTGTCCATCACAGGACATCCTGTCTAGACACTGGCCATCTCCATTTTTGCTGTTACTGTGCAGTTCCAGTTTTTGGTTACCAAAAACATCAAAATTTTTTTTTCAGAATTTCTCATACCTGAAAGATATAGGCCCCTTAGGCAAAGAGGAAAGAAAAGGAAAAGCCGTGAACGTGGTCCCCTACCAAAATTCTCCAGACTGCAAGCCACTCCTCTCCTGAGAGGCCATCATGAGCCCCAGGGCAGCTGGGAAACCCTTACCCAGTGGTCTGCAAAGAAGGAGGGGTTCAAGGCAGCAAAGGCAATGCTTTGGGTCTTACAGACAGCCTGGAATTGAAGGATGCAGCCACTTCTCTGGGGTAGTGAAAAGTGTAGGAGCTGAGCGGGGTGTCTTCCAGTCCTTCCTCCAGCACCCCATACCTTCTGTGCGAGCCCAATGGGAACACAGCCAGTTCGGGCCCAGCCTATCCAGGGGCACCTGGTTTTATCTAGCAACTGGGATTGTCATCCCTGGACGTAGGAATGCTCATATAAATGCAAATGCCCATGGGAATGACATTCCACACGGAGAAAAAGTCCAGGAACAGCAAATGCATCAGGCTTCTAGCTCCTGGGCAGCCGCTGTGGGAGGCTCAGCCCTTCCCAGCGTGACTGGCCTGTGTCCGCATGTTGCTCCGCATGTGAGCACTAGCTTTTTCCTTGCTGCCCCCAAACGATGTGAGACCCAGAGATAACCATGGTGGTGACCCCACACACACACCTCCATCTACCCATGGAAATCATGGCTTAATTTCGGGCGTGTCTGAGCAGAAGCCCAGCGAGGAAACCCTCTATTCATGTCTTCAATCACATAAAGAACAAACAAAATGTCTCTCACCTCGCGGCTGGCAGGCTTTCCACCTGCCGGGTACATAAGAGCCGGGTGCCCCTGTGGAGTCTAGGAAAGGCAGCTAGTCGTGGGAGCTCATCTTTCTGGTCAGCCAGACTGTTCCTTACCTGCCTGACAGGATCAGATATGAGCACAACACCACGGTTACCAGGGTGGCCTCCTCCATCTCACCTGCGAGGAAGCATTTATCTGCATTCTCACCTCAAGTTTAAGCCGCTCCTCGTGACACCCTTTGTTGCATTTGGGGTGGGAGGAATAAGGATCTCTGAAGGGAACCATTACCTGTCCAAGGCTGTGACTCACTTCTCAACATGTCGTTTTCGGAGAGGGAATCGTGCTCGGTGTGTGGGGAGGTGAAGCAGGTGGGAGGGAAGAGCTGATGTTCCTGCATCCCGCGTGCCGTCTCTTACCTGGGTTCTCTCCAGAGCAATGCTCACAAGCCCAATCCTCGGGGGGGGGGGGGGGGGGGGGAACACCCCTCTCCCCCCCCCGCCCCCCCCTCCCCTCCTTCCTCTCCCCAGGTGAGCCAGCTGGGTGTGTACCGAGCCTTCGTGGATAACTATGGAGTGGCCATGGAAACGGCGGAGAAGTGCTGTCAGGCCAACAGTCAGTTTGCAGAAATATCTGAGGTAATGAGGGAGCACCCTGACGCCGTGCAGGCCAGAGCGCTGCCGACTCCCACCCATGTCTTCCCACTCCCACCATGGGCTGTGGGCTGGTTGTTAGGAGAACAAAGTATACCAGATTAAAGGCTGCGTATGAACCCCAGCTCTGACTCAGAGTCGGCCGGGTCATCTCCCTCGCAGGACACCGTTGTGATTCAGCAGGAGCGGTCCTCACAGGGCCTCACAAGGCCCAGGGTCGGATTTATCTTTTCTCCATTGCTACTACCAACTGTTCGCTGTGTCCTTTCTAAAGACTAGAAATGTATTTGTTTGGAGGCTGAGAAGCCTGACCACACTGAGGTTCCTCTGTTGAGGATCTTCTCGCTAGATCATCACAGGACAGGGTGTCACATGTCAGGACAGAACAGGCAGACTAACTCACTTGAGGTGTGCCCTCATGACTTCATCCAACTACCTCTTAAAGATCCCAACTTCAAGCTCAGTGTGTCTGGTAGGGGTTTATGTTCCCAGTACACGGGCCTTTTGGGGGACACATCCCTTTGTAATAAAGCAATTCATTTGCACATTATAATGAGTATGTGTGTGCATGTCCAATCATGAGACTGGCTGAAAGTAAAACATGCTATCCGTCTGGGGGTGCCCCACCCCTCCTACCCCTACCGCGGGACTTTTCAGAATGACCAGCTCCTTGAATGCTGTTCAGCTGCCCTTAGTAAGCACTTTGTGCAGAAGTCTCCATCTCGGGGTCCCCGTCTGTAGATGACTTTGTTCCCACGGGAGCCTTGGGCAGGGGAATGGATTGTTAACTGCACTCATAGATAGCGGCCAGGGATGTGGCTTGCGGCAGCTTCACAGGGCAGGTACTCGGGACAAGGAATTTCTGACCCCTCACTGCCGGAGGTGCTGAGATTGAGAAACCTTGTCTTAAGGGAGCATCCGGGGCAGTGGTTCTCAAGCTTCCTAATGTTTTGACCCTTTAGTACATATTTCCTCATATGGTAGTGGCCCCCAATCATACAATTATTTTTGTTGCTACTTCATAACTGTAATTTTGCTACTGTTGTGAATCAAAATGTAAATTTCTGTTTTCCGATAGTCTTAGGGAACCCCTGTGAAAGGGTTGGTCTTCCTCCAAAGGGGTCTCGACCCATAGGTTGAGAACCGTTGCACTAGGGGGCACCCTTTGTCCTCGTCTTTTTCATAGGTCATTGCTCAATCCATGTCTTCATTTGGTGGCTCAGAGTGCCCCCTGATGCTTGCTGCACACAGGGCTGTCTGTGTTCAGGCTGTGGTGCCCAAGCTGCTTCTGCCATTCCGTGTGAGCATGTGCTCTTCTCTCTGCAGAACCTGAGAGCCAGGAGCAACAGAGATGCCAAGGACTCCACCACCAAGAACTCTTTGGAAAGTGAGTTCTCTCTGCAGAGGGTTCTCTTTGCCTTTGCGGTAGTGGCCACTTCCAACAGAGGGGATGTTGTTGGAAAGACACTACACCTCGTTGGGTCACCACTGTCATCTTCCTAGTTCTGGACCTCAGGTAGTGAGTGAGGAGGAACAGAGACCAGCCTGGGACAGGGTAGGGCAGAAAGGATAAGGCCACTAACCGTGACACCAGCAAAACATTGTAGGAATTAGCCAGTCTGCCAAGTTCACTGTGGGGCTGTGGGTAAAGGGCTTGCTGTCATGCCTGATGACCCTGGTCCACATGGTAAAGAAGAAAGCCAGTTCTCCAAAGTGATCCTACAAATTCCACATGCACACACACATGTCTGCTGTCCAGTGCACATGCATGCATATGCACACACAAAATTAATCTGTGTCTTTAGAAAGATAATAAAGGTCTGGAGAGATGACTCAGAGGTTAAGAGCACTGACTGTTCTTTCAGAGGTCCCGAGTTCAATTCCCAGCACCCACATGGTGGCTCACAACCATTTATAAGACCCGGTGCCCTTGGGCCAGGCACAAATCTTTAATCCCAGCACACAGAAGGCAGAGGCAGGTGAATCTCTGTGAATTCAAGGCTAGCCTGATCTACAGAGTGAGTTCCAGGACAGCCAAGGCTACAATGATAAACCCTGTCTCGAGAGAAAGAAAAAAAAAGATCTGGTGCCCTCTTCTGGCATGCAGGCAGAACACTATATACATAATAAATAAACCTTTAAAAAAATGGAAAAGATATTAAGGATCTGGAGAGATGGCTCAGCAGTTAAAAGCCCTAATTGCTCTTTCAGAAGACCCAGTTTCTGTTCCCAGCACCCACATGGCAGCTACATAGACACAGTATTTTTTTTAAAGAATCACATAATAAATATCACATATTAAAGTCTTACTGGGAAGGCCAATGAGGTGACACACACCTAATCTCAGCTTTCAGGAGGCATTTAGGAGAAGCTTACATTTGAGGCTGGCCTGGGATACATAGTAAGACCCTGTCTGACAGTAAATACACACATTGCTGTGCTGTGCCTGGTGTGGGGACATGCGGCTATAGTCTGGGATACTGAGGAGGCTGAGGAGGAGCGCAAGTCTGGGGCGAGTCTGAGCAAGTGGGAACCCATTTAAAAATATTTTTAATTTTTTCTAAAGATTTTTTTAAATTTTTGTTTTATGTGTATGTGTGTATGAGGTATGTATGAATGTATGTATATATGAGGTATGTATAAATGTATGTATGTATGTACTCCATGTGTGTGTAATACCCAGAGACCAGGAGAAGGCATTAGATGCCCTCAAACTGGAGTCAGAGGCAGGCAAGCGTGAGCTGCTGGGGAGCGAGCCCATGGCCTCTGGAAGAGCAACGAGTGCTCTTAACCACTAAGCCATCACTCCAGATCCCAAATACTAATACCAGCTATTATTTGTTGTTGTTACTAAATACTGGGTGTGTATGTCTATGTGTGGGTATGTGCACATGAGTGCGGTTTGGCCCATGGAGGCCAGAGGCAGTGGATTCCCCAGGTGCTGGAGTTGCAGGTGGTTGTGGGTGCTAGAATCTAAACTTAGATCTTCTGGAAGAGCCTTTCTCCAGTCCCCCAAAATACTTTTTTAAATGATTTTTAATTGTGTGTGTGTGTGTGTGTGTGAGAGAGAGAGAGAGAGAGAGAGAGAGAGAGAGAGAGAGAGAGAGAGAGAGTATTAGGGAAGGAGACTGTGCACACTGGATCCCCTGAAGCTGGAGTTACAGGTGACCGTGATCTTCCCAGTGTAGGTGGTGGAAACCAAACCCAGGTCCTCTGGAAGAGCAGCATGCAACTCTCTTTTTGATTTTTTTGAGGACTCTGCTGGAACTAGCTCTTATAGACCAGGCTGGCCTCGAACTCATAGAGATCCACCTGCCTCTGCCTCCCAAGTGCTGGGATTAAAGGTGCGCCACCACCGCCTGGCTAGTAGCATGCACTCAAGTGCTGCGCCATCCCTCCAACCCCCTGAAACACCTTCTAAGAATATCGTCATGTCGTCTCCACTGGTCCTAAAAGGCGATTGTATCTTCTCTTCCATTGTAGGTATCAGTCTAGTTTCTGCTGCTGCCACTGAGTAGCACCACTGAGCTCTTTATTTTATTTATTTATATTTATTTTTACTTCATCAGTCTTTGAGACAGGGTTTCACACTGTGCTCCAGACTTGCCTGGAACTCACTGCTATCCTCCTGGGCTCAGCCTCCCAGGTGAAGGGATTACTAATAAGATCCGCCACACATGGCTTAACCAAGTATACTATAAAGAATAGAGGTTTATTTGGTCCGGGGTTATAGCTTGATGGTATACACAGCCCCTGTGCTCAATCTCAAGTAACACACACAAGCACACACAACTTAATAAAAGGATGAGAAGGCTCAACGTTAAGCGGTTGCATCTAGTAAAGGCACTCTTGCCAGTTGGGGACTCTGCAGAGTCCCAAGACAACATGGGCCACCACACAGCAAGGCAAACAAGTATGCAAGAGATAGTTCAAATCAATGGCAAAGCTACTTCCTTGATCATCCATGTATAGATGAATTCATTCATGCGGGCAGAGTCTAGTCATGTTTCAAAGCAAAAGTGCACCGACTATCAGTAACAGAGAACAAGGCAAGGGCATCATCACATAAAGTACCTGTGTGGAATGCAGGTGGGTAGGCAGGCAAGGGTTGAGCCCTGGAACATGTGTTTAACCTCTGCCTGTACTAATCAAAAAGTTGTAAGTTGCTTCTTGCTTGAATTGCTGGGCTGGTGTGAACAGTTCGGCTGATGTGAACAGGAAGGGTTAGGCTGGTGTGAACAGGAGTAGTAATGAACAGTGGATATAGTTCTTTTTCCCAGAACTCTCCCCCTAGCCCTTCTGAGCCCCAGTTTCCCTGTCTACCCTATCTATGAAACGGAGACAGCAGTGTGTGTCCAGTAGCAGTCATGGAAGTTATGTAAAGAAGTGTACCTGGCATGTTAGGAAGACTTAAGAGTCTGTGCTCATGTCTACGATGCTCATCGCTGTGTGGGAGAAGCAAAGATGGCCAGGTCTGGCCCTGGTGTCCCCAGATGTGTTCCCATCCCAGAGCAGCCACCAGATGCAGAGTTCTGTTTGGCTTCTGCCCATCCCAGATCCAAGCCATGGACTTTCAGAGCCACATCCTGGCCCTCACCATCCTCCTAGACAGTCCAAGGCAGCCATGCATCCATACCGAGCCTTTCCAGTGGCCCAGGCCTGAGCAGCAGCCCTGAACTCCAAGCTGGTAGTATGGCAGACAGATCCCAAGTTTGCCCTCATGGCCCTGCAGAGGGGAGGTGGGACTTCTCTTCCATCTTCTTGGCCTTGCAGCACCAGTGGGCAGGTAAGCGTTTTGTCTTCCCCAGGTGTGATCATATGTCCCCCCGTGTGTCTCTCCACAGATCTGCTCTATAAGCCTGTGGACCGGGTGACAAGGAGCACACTAGTCCTACACGTGAGTCGCATCATAGAGCATGACAGCTGCCTCCCCAAGGTGGCCCGGGTCCTCTCCTTGTCCTCAAGCCAGCTGAAGAAGGCCTTTTCACCCGAGTCTCCCTTGGGTTCACTGTCTGGAGGTGGATGCTGGTCTTTTGCCCTCCTCCTCACCTGTGTCCAGCCGTTTCATTACCATACAGAATTATTGAGGATGCAGGACCTCCCTGGAGCTTGCTGGGAAACAGGTGCCCCCACTGGGACAGACAGGGAAGGAGCATCCTACCTAACCCACGTGGGCAGAGGTCGTGGGAACACTGTGTGGCAGTGAAGTGTGTGAGCTGAGGTTCCATGGACAACAGGCACGGTTGGGACGGTAGGCTGGTGACCCACTGCCCGGATGCTTTCCTACACTGAGAAGCAAAACCAGAAAATAGAAGCAACTCTGGTCTTGCTGCCCAGGGAAACCTTGTTCATAGCATGCGTGCTTACAAATTCCAGGCACATATTTTGCTTATTGAGCCACCGATTCACAAGAATTCCGTGACGCTTTTCTTCTCTTCTTCCCCTCCCACTAATGAGTCCCCCACTAGAGGGCTTGTTGATTATGAACTAACATGTGTGAACGTCTTTTTTAATTACTTAGAAGACGCCATGCTTTGAGTGTTCACACCACTTTTTCCCCTTTATGCATTTTATGTATACGGGTACTTTGCCTGCATGTACATCTGTACACCAGAAGAGGGCATCAGACTCTTGTGAGCTGCCATGTGGGTGTTGAGAATTGAACTCAGGACCTTCAGAAGAGCAGCGAGTACTCTTAAACACTGAACCATCTCTCCATCCCCTACTTTTTTTCCTTTTAATAGTGTATATGGAGGTGTATATGGAGATTATTATTTCATTTTGGTCCAGGCAGCTTTGCCTCATTTTTTTAGCTTTTTTTTTTTTTTGAGGAGGTAGGATGCTCTATAGCCTAAGCTGAACCTGAACTCGTGGTTCTTCTGCCTCAACTTCCCAAATCCTGGGATCACATGCGCTACCATACTCGGATTTATTATTCTTTGTCATGCTCTGGTTGTTTGGGGGGGGGGGATGAGGCTGGAGAGATGGCTCAGCAGTTAAGACTGTGTACTGCTCTCCCAGGGGACCTTAAGTTTGATTCTCGGTACCCACATCAGGGGACTTACAATCACCTTCAACTCCAGTTCCAGGGGGATGATGCCTCTGAGCTCCGAGGGCAGGAGCTATCAGGGTGACAGATCTTGAAGCAGCCAGTCACATCCCCAATCAAGAGCAGAGATAGGATGAATGTGTGCACTGTGCACAGCTGGCTTTCTCTACTCTTACACATTCATAATGCCCTGACTAGGGAATGGCGCCCTCCACAGTGGACAGGTCTCCCACTTAAGCAAATATACTCAAGATAATTCCCCACAGGTATGCCTGCCTCCAAGCCATCCTGCTCTAGACAGTTCCTCGTTAAGGCTGTCTTTCTAGATGATTCTAGGATTGTGAAATAGTAACTGTTCGGAGTTTCTGGCCAGGTAGCCCATCCATTTGACTCTCTGAGATGCTGCCATCTGCCTGTGGCTGTGATTGGTTCAGATCTCAGGCCTGTGTGTAGTAAAGCATCCTGGTGAAGAACACCAGAGCCCCTAGGAATGGTGGGAGCGAGGGGTGGACCTACTCCCTAGCTTCTCTTTGTAGTTGGGATTAGGAGTTGAAAGGGTTTTGTTTCTGTGAATCAGGGAGCTGCTCGCCATGGGCAAGGAACAAATTGCCCTTGTGGTATATAAATTATTAATACCCATGTCTGGGCTTTGGGAGCAGTGGGCCTGCAGCTCTGAATTGCACCCAGTGTGCGTGTATGGTTTCACACAGCGTTCTGTGCTGATGCTATTCTGACTAACTCTGGTCTTCCTGCCTGGGCCAGGACTTGCTAAAGCATACTCCGTCCAGCCATCCTGACCATTCCCTGCTGCAGGACGCCCTCCGCATCTCACAGAACTTCCTGTCCAGCATCAATGAGGAGATCACACCCCGGCGGCAGTCCATGACCGTGAAGAAAGGAGAGGTGAGCATGGCTGAGCGTGGCACCCTCAATCTCAGGCACAGAGGCTGAGCACGGCACCCTCGATCTCAGGCACAGAGAGTCACTTGCTGGTCCTTAGCAGATGGCTCTGCACAGCACAGGATGCATATGGCCCTTGGGGAATCCATACTGCCGGGTACAGCAGGACATCAGGGTAAAGTCAAAGGGGTGATCCTGTGCCCAGGGAAGGATCCACAGTTTTGGGGGACATGATCTGGCTAAGGAAGTTGATATCTGCAGCACAGAGCTCCCCTTCTCCCTGTGCTGGCCACGGATGGAGATTCTGTTTCTGTGAGTCATCAATAAGCAGCCTGTGCTCCTGACCGCCTCTGACTGGTGAGGACAGTGGAGGGGCCAGGGCCAGGAGCTGGAATCTAACATCCTGTGTCAGAAGGGATGTTAGAGTTGGGGAAGCTGCCCTGTCGTCTCTGGAGTCTTGTGCCCAGACGGGAGCTGTCAGACCCACGCAGGTCATGTTAAGGTCATACCCCTGACCGCAGCTGCCTCTGAGAACCACTTCTTCCTCCTCTGGCTCATGTGCCAGGTGCCTGGGGACATTTCTTTCCTTCTTCAATACAGTGACAGGCAGGCTGCTCTTGGCTTTCATCCTCCATGTCTCTTTCTGGGAAGAGCTGTCCTACATGTTGAGTTGAAAGTACTTAGCCACGGTCTAATTGGGCTTAATTGCGAATGAGGCGCCTGGTCATATCTCTCTTGGTGGGCCTGACCCAGGAGGAGCTGGGGAAGAGGAAGGAGCTGTCCTTCAGGCTCTGGAATAAAGCCAACTCGGACTCCATCCCAGTATCCCAAGAGCTGCCCCTAAGCATCCCGGTACCCATAGCTTCTCCCTTATAGGCCCGTTCTTTGTCTCTACAGTAGGGTAGGGACATAACTCACCTCCCTGGGCCCCTGGGCCTCAAAGGGATGAAATTTATGGGAAAAGCAGTAAATGGCAGCACCCTGGCCCTGTGTGTCCACTTTTCTGTTGTTAACTCCGTTGAAGGCAGAAGCGGTGGGGCCCTAGCTTTACTAGCTGGTAACCCCTGGGGAAAGATACTGAGTGGAGCAGTTTCCCACCTAGGCAGGTGTTCAGTATCTGGCACCTAGGGAAACTAGGAAGCAGGTCTTCTCTACAGTGACACTGGGCCTTGCTATGGTTCTCACGTGAGGCCGTTGGATAAGAGCGGAGCCTGTGCTCCCCTCAGCAGCCCACTGTATTCGACCTGGTGTCGGATCTGTGCCCGCCAAGATCGCATGTATTGATTGGATACCTGCTGAGATCACCCATCCCACATGGTGTTTCTGTCCTCTCTTATGCCAACTGTTCCTTTATGACCTGAGAAGCAAACTTTGAACCCCTTTTCCCTTGGCCCTGAATATGGGACCAATTCTACCCCTCTTCCCAGCCCACTGCTTAGGATTCCTTAACAGAAATAGTCCGTGTGTTCAGGTCAGCTGCCTTAGGGACTGAGGACTGAGGTGTCACCCGGAAGCTAGCAGCTAAGTCCCTACTCCCGCGTCTGTCTGCAGGTCTGTAGTGTTTAGGGCAGAGTGCTTTAAGGAGGCCGGAGGCTCCCTGTGGAGGAGTCTGCTGATGCTGCTGATGCTGCTCGTAGAGTCTGCAGGTTTGCAGTCCTGACTTACCCGCGTCATCCAGCACTATCCATCAGTGCCTCGGGGCTTACTAAGCCAGGATGCCTGTTCTTGTGCCCCCTGGTCCCCAGACGTGTCGGGTCCTCATTGTCCTCCCCAGGGTCCTTCCACCCACACAGTGCTTGATGCTGCAGGAAAGGTACTAGAAGGGCAAGCTCCCAACCCCACGCTGGTCCTCGCCCACTGCTTGGGCCCCCTCCCCCTTGAGCATCTGTGCTCTCTAAGGACAGTGACCCCTCCACTGGGCCACGGTGGAGCTGAAAGTTTTGTCATCTCACATACTGATACTATGAAACCGAGTGGTGACATGGAGATGCCTTCTGTGCTGAAGATGCTGATGGGCACCCTTGGTGTTGCTAGCCAGGAAAGAACCCATAAGCATCCCAGCAGGATGAGTCGGGGCACTGTGGAGAGTCGCACGTGTGAGCCGTGGGCAGCACCTGATGTCTAGCGTGTGTCCGCTCTGATCTCTTCACGCTTTTCAGCCAAGTCCCCTGGCTCCAGAGCTGGCCCTTTTTTGGAAGCGTCTGGGCAGCGTTAGAGGTGGTTTCCAAACTGAGCAGCGGCCAGCGGCTGCCCTGGCCGGCCAGAATTCTTACCAGAGCACACCAGGAACTAGCAGGAGCGGGAGCTGCCCAGCATGAGGAGGGAGGGCTTGGGATCTCAGCTTTTTGGATCAGAAGATCCTGCAAACGCATTTTCCTTCCAGGCCCTCGGCCTGTGAGCTGGTGGGTGGGTGTGCACTTGTTTAGCTGAATTAGCTTCACAGTTAGATAACTAAGTCCCTGCTGCTGGATCATTTCCTCCGAGCGGTGGTGGCCTGTCTGCTCTGAGCTCTGCACTGTGTGCTGCTCGGGCTTGCAAGAGTAGCTGATGATTCCAGTTCTCTGCTGGGGCTTCTAGAGGCCGTGGAGGAGGCAGGCAGTGGCTTCTGAAGGCACTGTAAGAAGGGACAGAGCTAATGAAGGCTACGAGGCAGCGGGGCTCAGAGCACACTAGGCTTTCCTGCCGACGATTAAAAGGAGTTGGGGGCGAAGGGTATACCTCACCTGTAGAGTACTTGCCTATCATGCTTGGAACCCGCTGCTCCATTGCATGTGTGCGTGTGTGTGTGTGTGTGTGTGTGTGTGTATGCTCATGTGTGCGCACACACGTGGATAATTGATGAATTATCCACTGGAAACATCAAACCCATTTGCAAGAGGCATTGCGAGGGTGGGGAACATCAGCACTGAGCACCTGCTAAGTAGTGCTTGCTTGCTGCCATGACGAGGGTGGACATGGACCGCAGAGCCCACAGCCCGAGCAGCAGGCCCAGAGCTCAGAGTGTAGTGTGCTATAGAATATATATGCAGGGGCCTGGATTCAGTCCTGAGTACCCACAAGAGCCCTGTAGCCCCTGAGAGGCTTTGTGGGTATGTTGATTCATTTAATCCTCAAGAAAAAAATGCCACTAAACAGGTAATTTTTTTTTTGTCCCTGTCTGTAACACTGGCATGGAACCCAGGGCCTTGTACAAGCTAGGAAAACATTTTGTCCCTGAGCTGTGGTTCAGCCCCAACCCTACCCTACGTCTAAGTTTTAAAGTCACCGAGATAGAAAGAAAGTAAACAAGCTAGGGTGTAAACATTAAAACCATAACAACGTGCTTCTAAATTTGGTCTTCCCAAAGGAGGCCCCGGACGGGCTGGTTCCCAAGCCATGCCAGGAGACAGGCAGTGAAAGTGGAGGGGATCCTGGTCTGTTTGTGTCGGTTTCTCAAGAAGGCAGTGGTGTCCTTTCCAGCTGATATTTCCTACCTGCATGTAGAGGAACACCCAGAGAGTGCCTCCCCCCAAAACCATACACACATCTTCCTCCACTGCTTTGCCCTACAACCTGGGGACGCAGAAACCTGCATAGGGGCTCCTGCCAGCACACAGGACGTGTACACCAGCCACACACGGGAACGTACATCTCTCCCCATCTCCTCTTGGACACAACTCTTGCCATTTCCACAAACAGCCTTCTCTGAGCTACAGACTCCTTGGACCTGGGTCCAGCAAGGTCCTGGGCTGTCTGTCCTTCAGCTCTGTCTTGGGGCGGGGGGTGGGGTGGGGCATGCACTGGGTGAGGCTTTGAGTGGATACTTCTTCCCGAGCGCCTGACCTCATTTAATTTTTTGCACACTGTTGCTAGCGGAGGTGGCTCAGCCTTGACCTTGTCTGTGTGCCTGGAGAATGGGGGCAGGTGGGATGGGGAGCCAGTGCTGGGCGCCCTGTGCTCCCGGGCCTGTAACCAGACTGATGAGTACTTCTGAGTGAGGTGTCCCCTGGGCAGCCGGAAGCCTTGAGAGTCTGAACTCACTAAGGCCATGTGAGCTGGCCCAGCCAGACCAGACTGGCCAGAGTCTGCACAGGAGCCAGGATTCCAGGAAGGGAATGGGGGAGGCAGCAGGAGTTGAATTTGCAATGAAGGCTTCTTAGCTAATGGTCAGAGGGACAAGGTTACTGTTAGGGCTCCCTTCTCTGCCTCACCCCAGTATTTCCTTATCATAGAGTCCTCCCTGTGTTATCTGTCTTGGACCTGTCCCTCCCCACCCTGTAGAGCTTCTAGCTAGGCTCCCAGTAGAGTTGAACCCAGGCCTGAGCTATGGAGGAAGCATCTGCCCAGAAGCCTAGGGATCTTAACTGTAAAGCAGGAGGAGACTGCCAGCCTGAGACACTTGCCTCTAGGCCTGGGACAGTCCTGGGCCCGCCCGCCCTCTTCCCACCGCAGTCTTCACCCACCGGGCTCTCCTCTCTGGTTCTCTGATCCCAGGCCTCCCTTCCTGGATGGGCTGTTGTTATGTTTGGGGCCCCACCTGTTGTCCCAAGGCTTGGGCGCCCTCCGCCCTGGCAGTTGACTGTTCTGTTTGGCGGGGGACTGCCCATGCCCTGGGATTCAGAAGCCAGGATCTCATGGTGCTTTGCACAAGGACAACTCGGATGGGTGTCCCCGTCAGTGACTTTTACACACCCCTGAAACCGCTCTCACAGAATGGGGACCAGGGGTGGTGGGGCCAGCTGGGAAGTGTTGAAGTCATAGTCTCTTCCCTCCCCTCCTCCTCCCCCCACCCGTGACAACGCTGGAGAGGGGTTAAGTAACTGTTGTGATATCAAAAGTGCTTGCCAGGACCAGGCTAAATCTGCCTCTTGGAACCTCTTAAGCCTGCATGACATTTGAAGAGCATTCGGTGTCAGGGGACGCTTGCCTGAACACTACAGACCCCACAGCTTCTAGGCTGAGCTTAGGGCGCCCTCTGCTGGTTTGAAAGAAGTTCAGTTATTTGGAAAGAGAAAAGACTGCCACCTGGTGGTCTGCGATCCTGCTTCTGCGTCCTTATTGAGGAAGCATTCATTGCAGACTTGGGTGTCCCAGAACACTTCCTTATCCCCGCCACAGACCTAGCAATATATATCCGTCTCTATAATCTACTCTCCATCTCCCACCAACATTTCCTCAGATGTATGCACCATTGGGCTAGGGAGGTGGCTCGTCTGTTAAAGCCTAGGCTCACGGCCCCAAAGACAAATGTCTGTGTACTGTTTCTTGTCTTCTGCCCTGTGGAGGTGTGTGTGAGAGTCCTGGTCTTAGCATGTTGACACCAGCCTATATAAAATAATTCGCTGCTCCACACCAGCAATCAGCTGACCGTCATGAGCTGAGTGCCTGTGATGGTAGCGTGTGACCCTCCGTGCCAGGGGATGTCAGGGGACATGTCCAGGCTGCACCCTGCAGAGCGTGGGAATAGAGCTTATGGAGGTGGAGACTACAGGCACAGGGAAGCAGGCCCTGTACAGCCCCAGTCCACTGGATGAGAGGAGGGAGCATCCTGCTTCTTGGGGGGTTGGGGATCAACTACACCTCAGGCTGGGGAAGACAGTGGTTTTTGGTTTGGTTTGGTTTTTTGGTTTTGGGGGTCTTTTTTTTTTTTTTGGTTTGGTTTTGTTTTTTTTGAGACAGGACTTCTCTGGTTCTCCTGGAATTCCCTTTATAGACCAGGCTGGCCTTGAATTCACAGAGATCCACCTGCCTCTACCTCCCGAGTGCTGGGATTGAAGGCGTGTGACACCACTGCCCAGCAACAGTAAAATCTGTTGTATACATCTGACCTGCAGGTCCTCCCCGGACAGTGTGGAGAGCGGGTGCCCCTCCAGAAAGCCTTCCTGAAGCCGGGTGCGCCCCCCCCCCCAGGCCAATGAGTAGACATCCCCTGTGCTTGCGGTGCTGCCTTGGGGTGGCCTTCCCGGGGCCATTTTCTCATGTCTGAATTGGGCTTGGGGTGGCTCACAGTAACAGAGCCTCACCCTATCTCTGTCCTCTGCATGACATACCATCTAACCCACATGAGGTGGCTGGCACTGTCTGAACAAGTTAATAACTTGTCTTATTGTGCCTGCTTAGCAACTTGTTGGGTTGCACAGGAGAGGTGACTGCCCTTGGCTTGTTGATGGACTGTTGAGTTACAGAAGGCTTGGGACCTGCTGGGAGACTCTCTTCACAGTCCTTCCCGTGTTCTAGTCCCCGCCCACCCGCGGCACACATCCTCTTCTCTCTGTTGGCCTTGTTCTTAGTCATTAGTGTCCGGGGAAGGGTTGGAGGTAGGGTGCAGACGTAGGTCCACAGCTTCCTGAAGCCTTCGGCATGAAACCCAGCCCATATTCCCAGCCCTGCTTCTTCTCGAAGAACTCCTGGGCCCATCTTCTTCCTGCTGATTGGCTGCCCAGTCAGCCGCTGGAATATGGTGCCCGTGCCTGGGAACAGTCACCCAACAGGAGCATCCGTCTGTGTGGCTGACCTCAGGCCAGCTCCTCAGAAAGGCACCAGTCACCCCAAACTGATGTCCACCTCTGCCCCATTCTCTGGTGTTCCTCTCTGGGCGAGCATCTAGGCGGGACTCAGAATAATTGGCAGAACAAGAGAGATGCTGGCAGCCCCATCTCTTAGCAGGCAAATAAGATAACTAGAACGTGTTAAAAATAAACACAGCAGGAGTACAAATTCCAAAGGAGAGCACTTTCTAGACGGTCTCCTCCTTGCTCTTGCTGAGACAGAGGCCCTGTGCCCCATCTCCCTTCCACACCCATCGCCTGACCTGCCCCCTGTACACACTGTGCCCACAGCACCGGCAGCTGCTGAAGGACAGCTTCATGGTGGAGCTGGTGGAGGGGGCCCGCAAGCTGCGCCACATCTTCCTATTCACCGACCTGCTCCTCTGCACCAAGCTGAAGAAGCAAAGTGGAGGGTGAGTGACCTTGGCCCTGGCCCTCACTGCAAGGCTTTGGTGGCTGGGTTTCTGACAGACATGAATAACAATGTAGCCAGACCCCCCACTCTTTACATTGTTTCTATTTGGATGTGATGCCAGGCTCAAAGTCAGGGATGTCACCAACCATCTGGAGGGGTCATAAGGCAGGGCAGGGCTTGTCTTTGCGTCCTGTAATGAAAGGCAGGAAAGTCTCATCATAAACCATCAGAAAAGCGTCGAGGGCTGCAGGGCTGGGCCAGAAACCCTCCCCTGTCAGCAAATGGTCCCTCGGGGGTAGCTGTCCTTCCGTCTTCCCATGCTGTAATGTTTTACACGCATCACCACTGCCACCAGCAAACTGCCCAACGTACACATACACACACGCCAGCAGCCCCAGAGATTTGCCCAGGTTGGAATGGAGTCAGGAGGTCATGTTAGAACAACCTAGACACAATGGGGTCTCCTTACACATATCTGCTGACGTGGGAATGAACTCACTCACTCCACGCAGAAGGGGAGCCTCCGCTCCTGTCTGTCAGTGAAGTGATGCTAACAGGTATACCGCGGCCTCTCAACCTCTGCACCTTTGTACTGCAGTCCCGTCCCGTCAGTGCCTGCTGCCAACCTCAGCCAGCCTGTCATGGGAAACGTGCAGTTTTCAGTCAGCTGAAGGGCCCAGCTGTAGACCTAGGGCTCTCTGCTTCTCAAAAGCAAAGGGAAGTGCAGTCTGTTAACGTTCTCGTCCCTCTCCACCCCAGCAAAACCCAGCAGTATGACTGCAAATGGTACATTCCGCTCACGGACCTCAGCTTCCAGATGGTGGATGAACTGGAGGCCGTGCCCAACATCCCTCTGGTGCCAGATGAGGAACTGGATGCCCTGAAGATCAAAATCTCCCAGATCAAGAGCGACATCCAACGGGAGAAGGTGCGACCGATTTTGGAGAGTTCGTGCCAGGTTCCGTGGAGCCTGAGTACACAGCAGGCCCTTGTGTGCAGGCCAAGCAGGGGCTCTCTCTGTCTTGGCCAGGCATCTGTCCCTCCATAGCTGGTCCGCAGGATCTGCGGGGACCCTTGAGAGTTCTCGGCTCCTGTGCATCGGATCATAGCTGGACTCTGGTTGTTTTGAGAGCCTCCAACTAAATTTGAGTTCTCCTACCGAAGTCCCTAGCAACTGAGCCCCAATGGGAGATGAGGCATCCGGCAGGCGTGTTCACGGAGTGTCTATTATAGGATGCTTACCCCGTCTGTCAAACTGCTCAGTGTCCAATTACCTGACTAGTGACCCTTGCAGAGAAGGTTCGTGTTCACTCACAGATCCCCTGTGGCTCTTCTCTGACGTGGTCCCTGGAATGTTGAGAGCCCAGCCTTGTACCTACCTCTTAACTATGTTTTTCTCATCCTCTCCACTACCCCGTCCTTGCATTCCAGGAAGATCAGGCCTAGGGAAGCTCCTGATTCTTCTTATGGAGGTTGTGAATTTAACCTCCTACCACATAGGAAACAAGCCAGGAGATTAGTACTCAACGGTCCTGGGCTAGAGAGGCACCCAAGGATGGGAGGACCGTTTTCCCACCACCCCCAAGTCACACCAAGTAGAAATGAAGTCAGGCAGAGAAAGAGTGCATCCAGGGGACAACTAAGAGACAAGGTCTTGGTGGGTTGTCCATGCTAGTATCCTGGGCCTGAGCAGTCCTCTCACCCCACCTTCCATATTTAGAGCTACTGCTAGCTGATGCTCAGGCGGCATCCGTGTGGTATTGTGGCTGGGAGACGTGCTTAATCATGGCGCGGGGGGGGGGGGGGGGGGGGGGGGGGGGGGGGGG